GAAAAGCTAATATTTAATCGTTAGCTTAACATCGAATCTTCACATTCTTATTCAATAATGTTTCTATTAAATATTAAAAGAATTAGCGTGATATTTCTAAAGTTTGAAATATAGTTTCCCGAATTTATCAACGATTCTTTGGTATAAAAACACCAACAGAAAACTCTTAAGTTCATAAATATTTTAAAAATAAAGAATATAGAAACTAATATTTTCAACAAATATATTAATTTAGAATTTCTGCTATATTGACATTATACATGTTCTTTCGGTAAATTTTCGTGTAATTTACAGAAATTTTTACAGAAAAGGAAATTTTATAATATTATTAATACAATTATAATATATAATTACATATAAATTACAATTATAACAATTATAATTACAATTAATTATTGTACAATTATAATTAAAATACAATTTACAATTAATGATGCTATCAGTATCAAATAGAAAAATAGATATATCCGATATATCCAATAATGCAGATAATTTGATACTGACAACATTTACTTTAAGTTCAACATTACATAATAATATAATAAATATATATACAAGTTTGAACCTTAAATTAAATATAATAATCATATATCCAAGTATAATAAAATATAATAAATATATATACAAGCTCAAATAAAATAAAATGTAACACACATGTATATTACATTTTATTTTGTACATAATAAATATATATGCAATTTTTAATTTATTAAAAAAAGGTATATATATACAAATAAATTTAAATTTTATATTATTTATATTTTATTTTTTTATTTATCTTTCCAATATTTTAATAGTCTTAATATTTTTTGTTTCTAGTAAGCATTTAATTCCTTACGGATCTTAAAGAATTAAATGCTTAAAGAATTAAATGACTATCTTAAGTTAAGATAGTTCTAATATTCCTAACAATCCTACCTTTGCTGGCTATGCTAGCGGGAATCCGCGATAATCGAAATTGCGGGGGTATCTTAATCGCGTGTCCTACTCACGTGCCCTACTCGCATATCCTAACCGTGTATCCTACTCGCGTGCCCTATTCGCGTGTCCTATTCGCGTGCCCTATTCGCGTGCCCTAATAGAATGTACCGTATGCTGCTTCGTTGGGCCAGTTGGACCTACCTTTTGTTGATCCTGACCTATTCATTCTGGCTACATCTAGCCAGAGATGTAGTTTTGACCTCTATCAGAGATCAATGAAGGAGAGAAATTCCTTCTATTGCCGGCTAAACATTGTCACCGGTGCATGAGCGTAATTTTACGCTCGTTTATGGTCGTGAGACATAATAAGTTATTATTATTTTATATAATTAATAAATTTACTTTAGCGTCTTCTTCATTAAACAAAATAAATAAAAGTTATCAATTAAAAAAATATTTTACATCTTTTTCAAATTTTTGCTTTAATTCATACTTTAATATTTAAAAAATCTATTGAAAATCTATTATATAATTTAATCTATTCTAGCCCATCTAGCCCATCTGGCTACATCTAGCCAGAGATGTAGTTTTGACCTCTATCAGAGATCAATGAAGGAGAGAAATTCCTTCTATTGCCGGCTAAACATTGTCACCGGTGCATGAGCGTAATTTTACGCTCGTTTATGGTCGTGAGACATTATGACCGTGTGGCATCATTTTAAAATAACTTTACTTCAATTAATATAATGCCAAGTTATCAAAACTAATTAATTAAAATTCTTATAATAATATAATATTTTCTTAATAATAATATATAATTTATATTAAAATGAAATTAATAAAACATTTATATTTTATATAATTTAATAGATCGATAAGTTGGCTTTACATCAATTAAAAGAAAGCTTTCATTGATATG